TTGGTAACTCCCAGCCCCCCGAATGAAGTGAACATCAACTTTTTGGCTAAGTATGTGATTTGGGGAGATTNCTTATTGGTCTTGTTAAGTTCATTTAAAATTCCTATCAATTTATTAATATTGAATTAGATTTCGGACGTTCAGATTTAATTAATTAAAATTAAGTTATATGAATATGATATTTTATGGATATCAGGTTTTTTATCTTTACTTATTACTCTTTGTTTTTGTGACTTTATACACACGCAAATCATGCGCCACACTTGTTAATGAGAAACGAAAATTGAGATAAGAAGAGAGTCAGATTTCTAAACTCCCAAAAAATTTGTGCTTGGAAAGATTTGAAAATAATCGCTTATATCATTCAGTTATTGAATAAGCACACCAACTATTTTAAGGGGAATTTCAGTAGATCAAGAATGCGTGTTGAAGGCTTATAAATAATGATCTTCATGATTCCGTAGACTTACAGCTAACAAGTCCCAATATCTTATAACTATAACACCACTTTAAACAGCAAACCAAATTAGATCATAGCAACCAATCTCTGTTGACTTATTTATTTATATCAAATATCAGGCTTTATGATAGTTATTATTAGCCCTTTAGTTGACTTCGTGCTTCACAGTGGGGAGGAACATCAAAGTCACAAAAAGTCGAGAGGAGTGATCCACAGATGTAAAAGTGACAGGCAGACACAAGGGTAGAGAAAAAGGTAAGGTGAGTACTGTGAAGTGATCGAATATGACAAACAGTCGTGTCATTGTAGTTTGAAGTGAGAAGTCAACTGTCGGTTTATAGAGAAGGAGAAAGAGAGAGAGAGATGAAAGCCAACCAACACTTATTTTACAAAAATGCACGAATATATACGAATGAATATAAGTTAAAATTGGCGCAGCAATTAGAGCACTAAGTATTTTCCGGTATATCATGAAGTCAATATTTTAAAGTGAACTTGATAATCAATCTCCTTCGATAATTATAAATAGCTCTATTTTAAAGCTTCCTTTAAAATATATTAACCAAAATTGCTCTTTAAATCTGTAGCCACGAAGATAAGCGGCTGCCATAACAACTAGGCTTTTTAACTATTGGTTTTATTCAACAATTATACATTTTTTTGTTGCCGCTTAATAATAAAAAGTTATGCTTAGAGATGAAACTAACGGCTAGACAAAACATTGAATTTTTATCTCCTGGAGAGATTCTAAAAAGCATTGGGCTTAGCTCTACTAGAGAATGAATTTATGGGTGAAAAATGAAAATGTAAGAAAGCACTTCGTTTCCGAAGTGGCGTGGTTCTACGTTCTGAATAAATTATGAAATTTCTTTTTTGGTAAGTAGCCAGATTTCGCATTCCAAATACCAGGATTCATTATCATATCCCCCTGATCTCCTGCTCCGATTCAAATTCACTGAACCGCTATTCATGTGACCGCTGAGCTCAGAATTGTGTAATTAGTGAGCCGATTAAAGACTGTCCATTCATTTTCCTTACATTTTTCTCCTCCAAGGTAGACGGTTGGGACAAGGGAGCACTAATTGAACCGTAATAGGCACAAAATAGTCTCAGTTAATTCCTCATGCACGTTCTAGGTTGAATTTAATCCTGATAAGTTCAAACGATCTCAAAGGGTACTGAAATTTTTCATTTAACAAAAGTGTAATTTTCACTTCCGTAGTCAAATCATTACACTGGCTGGAAAATCATAACGCGTTAAAACATGTGCAAAATCTCAAAACGAAAAGTTTACTGGCACATGACCATTAAAAAAATCCATTTGGATCTTATGCATTTTGTTCTATCCAAGCTTATGAAGATCCGCAAGCATAAAATTGTATCTCCTCTCGCTCTATGATATGACAAAACTGTATACTTTGGAATATCACATAAAAAAATGATGGTTAAAGCATCTTAACGAGCTTTCTTTATTCAATAATAATAAGATTAAATTTGGATTGACCATGGTGGACGAAACGTGAAAGTGTATTCCGGAAAGTGAATTCCCTATATGTGCAACCCGAATATGGGAATCGACTGAATTGAGGCTCTTGCTTTCTCTCTTCCTCTTATCATTTGTTGGCCTCAAAGCAGTTAGATGTAGTTACTTTTCGCTGCTAATAGTTGTGGTTTTTTACTAACGTAATAACAATGTAGCAAGTTTTTGGCTCCTCTGATTCAAGTTTCGCCAACATCATTTTCCCTATTTAACTGGGAAATCGGACATTATTGCAGTTTGCCGTTATTTTTTAGTGTAAAGGTCTAAAGTACATCATGAAAATCAAGTTGCTCATTCTGAAATTTATGGAGTAAAATCTATTAAACTAAAATAACTGCCTACTGATAAGAAATTTTCTTTACAGGAATTATGTGTCCATTCAAAGCTTTTCATCGCTCTCGAAATTGCACCTTGCTAGTTAGACTTGATTCGAAAGTAAACTAGAAGCGGCAAGGGACAATAAAAATTACATTATGAATTAATTAACTATTTATTTATTTCAAATGGCAGGCGTTATGATAGTCATCATTAGCCCTTTAGCTAACTTCGGCTACACAGAGAGGAGGAGGAACATCAAAATGGCAAAATGTCGAGAGGGGAGAAAGACTAATGATTCACAGACGTGAAAAAGACAGAGGGACACAAAGGTAGAGAAAAGGCAAGATGAATACTGTGGAAGTAGTCGAATATGGCACACTGTCGTCATAAGTCAACTGCAGAATAATAGACTTTTTTGTCGTATGAGTATACGTTAACCAAGTTGTACCACGTGGAGGTAAGTCTAACGCACACCCCGTACATTATGAATTAAAAATGTAGATAAGGACCACATTTTTCTGGGTATGATATCGATACGTCCTNTGGTAACTCCCAGCCCCCCGAATGAAGTGAACATCAACTTTTTGGCTAAGTATGTGATTTGGGGAGATTATGTCATTAGATGCGAGACCAAGCTTGTTCGCTCTGTGTGCATTTTCGGCAACCCGCAGGTGGCTCAATTACAGCGGGCTCCACACCTCTTCGCCAACAAATTCCACAGTGACTACCAACCGGAGGCCTACGATGAGATGGAGCGGTGGTACTTCAGGAAATTTGCAAAGGAACTGGAGACTGGAGTATACGCTAGTGACGACTTTGATGTATCCATCTATGCAAATCGGACCTGCTCACGCAATCATAATTAGACAGAACTATTTCTTACCCCTGATATATTTTTTATTATCATTTGTAAGATTTGTTTATACTTTTGTTTACCTTAAAATAAAATGAGTAATTTGATTTCTAAATAGAATACATCTATTGTTCTTTCTATTAGTAATACATTGATTATTCATCATTAGCTTTTTATTAAATAAAGGATTTGTATTTTGACGTAATGCCTAAGAATTGCAGTAGTAATGTGCAAACAACAAAATAATTCCCATCATATCAATACATACTTATAGATATGTCATTTAGTGAGGATGGATAGAGTTTCATAGAACCAAAATTTTGGAAAATGGTGTTATTAGATATGTTACTGCAACCCTACTGGGAGATATTGGGGACGAGAGTGGGAGAGATTTGATACTTTCATCAATGCGATTAGAAATTTCTGCAAGAATATTTTGACATTATTTGAAAAATCGAAAATTGAATTTTTCTACACGTCTCAACTCTCCACAATTGTTTTGGCACATAACAATGCAAAAAGAAGTCGGATGGCGTTTGATGGCGCCAATAAAAATTACTATGTAGTAACATCATGACGAAGTGTGGCAAATTATTGGTAAATGCTTACTCACTAAATTTAAGTAGTTGGAGTGTTTATATTTTATTTATTTATTTATTTCAAATGGCGGGCTTTATGACACTTATCATTAGCCTTTTAGCTGACTTCGGGCTTCACAGAGGGAAGGTTCATCAAAGTAGCAGAAAGTCGAGGGGTGGGGAAGAGAAGAGCGATTCACAGATGTAAAAGAGGCAGACAGACACAAAGGTAGAGAAAAAGGTAAGGTGAGTACAGTAAAGGGGTCGAGTATGACAACCAGGGGGGTCGTGGTAGTTTGAAGTCAGAAGTCAACTGCCGGTTAATAGACTTTTTTGCCGTATGAGTATACGTTACCCAGGGTGCACCACGTGGAGGTAAGTCTATCGTAGTTGGAGTGTTTAGATTAAAGGAATAAATTCATTGGCTTGCTTGCGGATGCCAAATTTTCTTAATAAATTAGGCAAACGCCATACTACTTACTTCAATAAAACAAAGAAGATTGAAGAGATAACGAAATTACATAAAGGTTTAATGCTTTCCCACTGAGGAAACATTGTCCTTTAGGCCTCTTAGCATTATATTTCGAAAATGGGATGTGTGATAGACCTACCTCCGCATGGGGCAGCCTGGGCAACGTATACTCATACGGCAAAAAAGTCTATTAACTGGCAGNCCCCTCCCCCTCCCCTACAACCCCTCCGATTTTGCATGTGGAAAGACGAATTATTCATGGTAATGCAAATCACTTTTGCTAATTTTTGCTGTGTTTTATGTAACGAAAATGAGGTATTAAATTGATTTTCCATTTATTTATATTCAAAGGATCAAAAGGTGGATTACGAAGGAAATTTATTAGATTTGAGTAGGTTTAAAAATTAAAAAATACTTGATTTCCTCTTTAAGGTTATGGAATTTCCTGGTAGTCTGTCTTTATAACAAAGTAGATTTGAGTTTAAATTAAAGATTAATTAATTAAAGATTAAGTTACCTTATAGTCATTAGCTTTATCCATCGTGCAGAAAGATCGATACGTGTAATACATTTAAGTCATCATTACTTAAAATATTTATATTTACTTCAAATGGCGGGCTTTATGACACTTATCATTAGCCCTTTAGCTGACTTCGGGCTTCACAGAGGAAAGGTTCATCAAAGTAGCAGAAAGTTNGCAGTTTGCCGTTATTTTTTAGTGTAAAGGTCTAAAGTACATCATGAAAATCAAGTTGCTCATTCTGAAATTTATGGAGTAAAATCTATTAAACTAAAATAACTGCCTACTGATAAGAAATTTTCTTTACAGGAATTATGTGTCCATTCAAAGCTTTTCATCGCTCTCGAAATTGCACCTTGCTAGTTAGACTTGATTCGAAAGTAAACTAGAAGCGGCAAGGGACAATAAAAATTACATTATGAATTAATTAACTATTTATTTATTTCAAATGGCAGGCGTTATGATAGTCATCATTAGCCCTTTAGCTAACTTCGGCTACACAGAGAGGAGGAGGAACATCAAAATGGCAAAATGTCGAGAGGGGAGAAAGACTAATGATTCACAGACGTGAAAAAGACAGAGGGACACAAAGGTAGAGAAAAGGCAAGATGAATACTGTGGAAGTAGTCGAATATGGCACACTGTCGTCATAAGTCAACTGCAGAATAATAGACTTTTTTGTCGTATGAGTATACGTTAACCAAGTTGTACCACGTGGAGGTAAGTCTAACGCACACCCCGTACATTATGAATTAAAAATGTAGATAAGGACCACATTTTTCTGGGTATGATATCGATACGTCCTTTTACATGGGTTATTAATTTCCATCCTTTATTATTTGCCTCATTATGCATGATACTACTTCACAAAAAGCATTTTCATGTCTTATCAAGATAAAACCCCTGGGAAAGGTGAATAATTAAGTATTCAATATGACTAAAAACCTAGAGGGGAAGTCAAAGTTCTTAAATTACCTAAATCGTGGGACATTGAGTTATCCAGACTGTTCACTTTGTGATGTCTTGAAGTGTAATCTTATTTATTTCAAATGGCAGGTGTTTTGATAGATATCATTAGCCATTTAGCTGACATTGGGCTTCACAGAAGGAAGGTTCATCAAAGTAGCAGAAAGTCGAGGGGTGGGGATCAGAAGAGCGATTCACAGATGTAAAAGAGGCAGACAGACACAAAGGTAGAGAATAAGGTAAGATCCGTACTGTGAAAGGGGTCGAATATGACAAGCAGTCAGGCCATGGTAGTTTGAAGTGAGAAGTCAACTGCCGGTTAATAGACTTTTTTGCCGTATGAGTATACGTTGCCCAGGGTGCACCACGTGGAGGTAAGTCTATCGCACACCCCTTACTTAAAATATAAATGTTTAAAATCATTTAAATATAATGGACAAAGAAAATTGTCGGTTGAACTCCTAATGGTAATTTATAACCTTTTTTACGTCAAAATACCATTGATCAACATGTTATCATTTCAAAACGCAAAGTATGCTATTTTTAAAAAATTAATATGACAACGGGTGTACATATTTGGAGATTGCTTCGAGGATATAGAATGGCCAAAAGTTTTTATGGCTACCAAATTCTGTTACATGGAAACACACAGTACTTTCGTCTTGCCATTTGTTTTCATGATTCTGCTTTTTAATTTTTTGTTCATAAAGTTATATCCATGGTAACCTTTTCTTATTCCTTCTGTTGAGCAACCTTGAATTTAGAGCAATTATACGAAAGAGCACACCGTGTGAGCAAAAAATTTTAAATCAACACATATTATGAAATTAGGGTTCCTTCATATAATTGTAGGCGGAGTGTGTGATAGACTTACCTCCACGTGGTGCACTCTGAGCAACGTACACTCATACACAAAAGTTTATGAACCGGCAGTTGACTTCTGACTTCAAACTACCATGATCTCATTGTATGTCATATTCAACTACTTCCACAGTACTCACCTCACCTTTTTTCAACCTTTGTGTCTGTTTCTTTTACATATTTA